GCAGGAAGAGCACCGAGTCCCATGGCCTTATTTAACTTCAGCAGTCCGAGCTCATGCTCTCCTTTTGAGCGAGAGGGAATACAAAAGGGACAGCAAAGAGAACAGGGCGATCACTGGCCGATGAGAAATCTAACAACATCTGCCGATTAAAGTGCTTTTCATAACGTTTAGCTTAATGCTCCAAGCGCTTTCACAAACATCAGGTATCAGGAGTAGCTTCTTATGGCTGTAAAAAGGAGCCAGTTTTTTGGGAAAAGGCCATATTTCCTAAGCACTACACTAGAGTCAGCTAAAATCTAGGACTTATTTTTACTGAATACTGAGAAAATGCAGCGAGTACAAATGTTTCTGTGTAGGTACATCTAATGTCTTTTGATGAAGTCTAGCTACTTTCATGGTAATTATTCTCGGAATCTCACTTCGGGAAGTGCGAGTCCAGGGGTTGCTTATAATCCGGCACCGGCTTCGCTTCGACTATATCCGCAGGCATGTTGTTCTAAGTAATCGCCACCCACCGCTTGCAGCATAGCTGGTGAGCGACCTGCTTCAAATCTGGTACGACAAGTGTTGCTTAGTGTACGCAGATGAAGCAGCGGCCTCAGCAGGGATATTCATCCAGATGTAATATCCGGTGCGTCATGATGTCAATCCGCATTCGAGGAGAAGTGAGGGTGTACAACCCTAGTCTCTTGCACCGACCTTCATATAGTAGACCACGGAAACCGAGGAAGAGCCTTGTGGCCATATGCAATACCCGCTCAAACCTTCGCACCTCGCCACGGGTGAGCGGACTAGGCAGGTGAGCTGTACTTTAGCGTTGGTCTGATGATAGAAGAGACGGGTGGCACCCTCGTCAGACTAGGTGCAGAAGCTGCGTATGAGCGTCCAGAGTATGCGCAGCCTGTTTTGGTAAAACCTGCTAGCGTTTTCAACGGATTTGCTTTTAAAACGGTGCGCGCTATCTATTCTTGTTTCAAACTAGCATTGTGACTAAGCTGATTTGCCAAGGTCATTGAATGACCTGAACCAATCATGAGTTTCCACAAGTTTCTGGGGTTCTGTGTTGGCGTGAGAATGTTTTTCTCAAAAATCGGGTCAATATCTGCTTCGCCCCAAGAGGAAGGCACTTTATCTTCATGCCAGCCTTTTGCGAACGAGGTTAGCTGGTTAGTGATTGCCACGCCGCCGTACTTGAACAGGTTCGGGGGAAGTACGTCTGAGCCGGCAGCCTTGAACCGCTTCAATCGTCGAATTTCTAGGCAGACTTACGCACTGCTGGGTGAATTCAGTAAAACGAGTCAGGGTAGACAATAAGGTGTACTGCATGCACTGATGGACGGTAGTGGCCAGTTGAACTGCGAGTGAAAGTGCTCGGCCTAGCGGTTCAAACGCCTCTGTTGGTTAGTGATCGGAGACTCATCCACCTTGCATATAATCTCACTGACACCATGCTTCCTGAGGTCAGTGGACCGAATGAGTTGGAAAAGCTTGCGTGTCACCCGGGAAGGCAGCGGTCTGCATCTATAAATCACGCTCAGATCACCATGTCTTGCGATCCTTGTGTAGGCTTTGCTTGAGCAGCCGGTTGGTAGAACGGCGCCGCCCGTTGCAACCTGATTCCGCCGGGATATCTTTGATGCGGTCGAACAGTTTCAGAGAGCAAAGAGAGATCCAATCCTTTAAGCGGAGTCAAGCTACAGCGAAGGTTGAGTGTCTAGAAACAGTCATCTCTTTCTGTATACAAGTCCAGTGTTTCTCTGTCTTGCGTTGGACTGCAACTGAGTACGTATGCATGTGAAGACTGATAGTCCGCCTAGACAGAGGAATGAATTAATCTAATCTAATCTTGCGATGCTTCGTTTTTCGGGACCCCCCAAAATCCCTGCAGGTTTTCGCGCAGACCAGTGTATGATCTGAGTCAACGAAAGTGCACCAAAAGGACCCGCAGTCCAGTACGCTGCCACGCCATCTGAAAATGACTGAAATGTGATCAATTTGAGACCACGGTTGTGTTGGCGAAGGAGGACGACACGTTGCGGAACGCTTCTTCGTACGCCTGAAGTTGGTGTTCGAGAGAAACAGATGGTTGTCTTCGCACAATGTGAGAAGCCACTCTCCGTTATCAGAGCGGTCCTCATCGAGCGCGGAGGGATCACCAAGGTAGCGTTCGTATGGCAACAGCCCAATTAGCACCAGTGACCGATAGGCGACCGAAACCCGTCGGTTGGGTAACCGAAGATGCGTCGTGCGGGACAGTTTTCAGTGACTCCGAAAAAATGTGGCAGCATAACCTCGCTTGCCATTATGCATTTCCCCAAAGTTCCTCCTATGTTAAGGCATCACCGTCCCTCTTCCCTTGCTAAATGCGGACACACTAGGCGATGTACTGTACACATATTTCGGCAAACTATTGGTCACTCAGAAAAAGAATTGGCAGCATAACCCCCTCGCTCTTATACATTTTCCAAATTGACCCCTGAGTTAACGCACCACCGTCCTCTTTTCCCCTGGTAAATGTCGGCACGCATAGCGATTTACTGTAATCATTGACGCAGAAAATACACGTTTTTAACATGAAGTATATTACATATTTACGGGTAACACAGTAGTCCCTCTCCTTTGCATACCGCCATCGTGCTTTCACTCGTCGGATCCATTGCCGGACTCCTTGCGTCCAGCATAACTGTAGCGCGAAATGAAACCAGTGAGTAGAATTATTACATATGCACACAGCTTACACGTAACCGCGCGATAAACGGCATTACGGGTAGGCAAATCAATTTCTTGACAAGGCTGTCCACGAGGGAGGTCAACATGTAATGTTGAAGACACATTCTGCAACATTTTAACCGAAAACTGGACCAATGAACGCCACCTAACATAGATATTACAACAAATGATGTGCTATCATTTTTCGCATGGAACAGTTTTTTTATCCTTCTTGTAGTGAAACACAAGCGCCTTCCCAGTCCATTTGGAACGAACATGATGGGCTCCGCTGGTTACCTTTGGCCGCCAGTGTGAAGTGTGCAATGGAGTGCGTGCATTTCTAAAGAACTCCATGCATACGTTGAACGCTACACAGAAGTGATCCGCGTCATTCAGAGGTTTGCAACACTCCATTACACAATCATTTTCCAAAAGCAGTGTTTTCCACCAGAAGTAAAGCAGAGCCAAAAAGGGATAAATTTGCTGAAAGGAAAAGACCAAGTTACTTATATGGTTCAGGATGATTAGTGGTTGCATCCGAGGCAGATACGGTTTCGCACATCCACCAGTGATTTGAACGGCACTGCAAGACATGCAATTTCAGCTGGTCAAGTTCAAATGGGACGGGAATAGTAAAAAATAATCATACTTCTGTGCATCGTTCGCTCAGTACAAAGCCTGTGGGATCAATTTGAAACGGGATTCACATCACGGTCAATCAATGTCCTTATGAACTGTGCTAGCAGTCCGGTGACGTGAAATAAGAATAAACGCAAGGGAAGGAATAATAGAAAGACGAAAGGATGGACCGCTTGACATCCCATTTGAGAAGATCATCAGGTCACCCGCAGAGGAATAGCAAATGAAGTAAATTGCGCAATGTTTAAATGCAGAAATGAATATTGAATCGTTAGCCGTTAACAAAATCACACTTTCAGTCCGCGCAGGTGACCGGATGCTTCGGCTGAGCGACCGCTTTTAGTGCCCTTGGTCGACCCAGTGAGACACATGAGGGACAAAATGCGGTCATAAGGAAAAACTTTCAGTGCTGTATTACGAGTTGGGGATCGAATTCCAATATGTTAACGATATTTGTGACTCGGAAATATACATTCACGGCATAGATTAGGGCGACGCCGAAAACAAACGACCATACAGGATGTTCTAATGGTCACTCCATTACTCTGTCTGCACAGATGGATGACCAGCCAAGCCATTTGGGCGTGTTTTTGGTCACTCGCAGAGTCAAAAGGTTAATATAAAAACAAATGGCGTGATCTATCCAGATATGCCGTTAAATAAGATTGTTCATCCTTAGCACCACAATAGTTTGCCTAAATGGTGTTGCATTTTAAGAAAATCGTGATTTCAATCAGCGCCATTGCCCATTGGAACTCCCTGAGTGATTCATTTTCGTGCCTCAGGCCGTTCCAACTGGACACGTTTTGGACGACTCTTGGTCACACGAGAAAAAGTTTGGTTTAGCTTAACGGCTATAGTATTATGTAATTAGAATTTGAGAATCGATTTCGGCTTACTGTTGATGGTATTTGTAACTAGGAAAATGCATGCACTGTAAATATTAAGGGTACGTTTGGAAGAGTACTCTGAGTGACCAAAAGCCGTAAAAAGTTTTCCGAATGGGACAGAGAGAGGCACAAAAATTTCACTCAGGGAGCTCCAACGGTCACTTCAGCGGACACCGTTTGGTTACTCGTACGGATAGGGCAGGTCAGGTCAAGTCAGGTTTCAAGTACGATACAGGCCACCGCCTAACGAGCGTCATGTTTCTTTCACCGGTAAGCAAACAAGAGCCCCCGGTACTTCAATTTATAATTTACTTCCGTGGCTTCTGTAAGAGATTGAAACAAAAACAAAAGCACTCTATACTGTCACGCAGTACGAGATTACAGCGACATGATGCAATAAAATTGCAATAGTTCTGGAAAACGTTCAGACCAACAACTATCTAGACCCCTTTTAAAGGCCTATACGGTGCTGCATTCTATTAATGATGGAGGTAGCTTATTCCACCTACTGACTACACGATTCACAAAAACTTTCGCTCAGACATCCAGCCTAGATCTCTGATGTTTGAGATCCAGTTGGTGTCCCCGCAGGTGATCTGAGCCAGCTAGCTCAAACAGTGCAGTGTACTGGATACCACTAAAACCCTTCATGATTTTAAAGGTCTCAAGTAAATCTGTCTTAGTCTGTGCCGTTCAATTGAATACAGACCTAAGCTCATTAGACATTCAACGTATGGCTTCTCACCTAGTAGCCAGTTTTTGTAGTTTTGCTATACAGACCATGTGTTTCCGGTGGTTGTTGGGTGGAGCCTGGAATACTAGTCGGTAAGGAATGACACGTAAGACGTGTCAAATACGGGACGGTATAGAAGTTGGACGCGACTGAACCCAACATATAGTGTGTAGGCTACAAAAATAGGAAGCAAATCAACCAGAGTGAGAAACGGTGCAGCAAGGTACTCACCAAAACGCTTTGTGTCAACGGATGTGAAGTCAGTAAAACAAGTGGACGTTTTAAAGGTTAAAACAACCGTAAAATCCAATGTTGCAAAATAGTGAAACGGTTCCCTACAAGGGTCTCCTCCTAGAAGGCTGAAGTATAGAAGCCGTCGATGGAGCTGTTAGTGGGCGAAAACGGAAGATGAGGATGGGTGCGAATGGTTGCATTGGCTTGAGCAAGAACTTCCAAAGCGGGGTGTGTAGCAGAGTTCGCTGGGTCCATGCTTTGGTTAGTTATTATTTATGATGATCGTGTGGACCAGAGTGCATCATCGGTGGGCCATCGGGGCGGGCTAGTCGGACTGTAACAAAATCGGCTAGTCCAGAAAAAAGGCTGACAAGACCTGCCCATTGCAGCAGACCCGACGGTGCGCTTGGGAGTTGTCACTCCCTCACCGCACTCCAGTCCACGGTCCGCGTAAACTGATTCCGATGCCAAGGAAAACATTCCTGCGGATGGTGCAGCTCGATAGGTGGCGCCGGCAGGTAGGATTAATTTCGAGGTTGCGCACGAGACTCTTCCCCATCACTGTCGGAAAGTAGCCTGGCATGTTGCCTCCTGGAATGTTAAGTAAATAATAGGAAATGAAAATACTGGATTCGTTTGCGTGGTGTGCCTATTGACACGGTGTCATCCGTGTCATCCGCGAATAACCGTTCTGCATACGCAAGTGACACGGAGCATACATACAGATAGTCATCTGTGAAATGAAATCTCCAAACACAACAAACCTGTCTGCATAATCACCCGAACAGGGTGCATGCGGTCACCGGGTGCGGGTGTTCGGTGATTCTGGACCGCGTTATCGTATCCGCCGTGCTGTAGTTCAGGTATGATGGCGGTATGACCATCATTCTGCAGCCACTTGCTGCTAATAACGGTAACCTCCGAACCACGTTCCCTTCGGAAGGCTAGCACGTAATACTGCTGTTGGGTCGACCTGATAAAAAAGGTTATTACGTTAGAAATGAGATGGGGATGGAAGCGAAGTTCACAGAAAAAGATAGGCAGTATTACTGCTGTATATTCAAGCCGATAATAAATAAGAATGCAGTACACGGTGCAAAAATACAAATGCGCGGGAGGTCTAGAGGCGAAAGGTGTGCAATATGGGAATCATAACGTTTTTCGTGCACATGCAAACAACATCCCGTAGCGGCAATTCGTAGACATTAGTTTACAAGCCAAAGGCTACATAAATGCATATCTCCGATGATTGCAAGCGGCGTCTGTGTAGGTCGTACAGCTTGTCTAAGGCCTGACAGATGATGTTTACACCGCCGTCGTCTGTGTTCTTTACTGAGCGATAAGCCAAAATCGATTCCCAAAGCATATAATACAACAGCTAAACCGAAAATTATTTTGAGTGACGGAAATTCGAACAAAACATGCCTAATTGGCACGAAAAATGGTCATTCGGGAAGCTCAAATGGTCACTCGTGCTGAGTGAAATTACGATTTTCTTAGAAAGTAATACCTTTTAGACAAAAAACTGAGGTGCTAAAGAGGTACAATTTTATTTAACGGCATATGTGGACAGATCACGCCACTTGTTTTTATATTAACCTTTTGACTCTGCGAGTGCCCAAAAACAGGCCCAAATGGGACGCCTGGCCGTCCATCTGTGTGGACAGTGTTGCCTACAAACATTGGCGTGGTGGGCCCCAGATCACACTGCTGCTAATATAATATGAGCTTCATTTCCTTGAGATTTGTTATAACACGTGGTTGGTAAAATTCCCGTTTAACGGAGGAAGCATACCAAACGGTCGCTCGATCCATGAAGGGCAATAGAAACTTGACAATCAGATTTTGTGCATATAGCAATCCGCCCGTTATTCCGAAATCTGGCACTCTTACAATTGCAAGTTTCCTAAATAAGCTTAATCCGTAGTTAACATGTATCAACTAACTAGTAAGAGTCCATAGTATATGCAACTTGCGAGGGGATAAGACGAAGTGGCGAACTGGATGCGGTTGTCACAACTGCACAGGTCATCGATCCTGAGCCGAGTGGATGGTGAACACAACGGGTGATGGTTGTAAGCAAAACGAGGTAAAATAAATAGGAAACGATTAAGTCCGTTTAATCGATGTTTAACTATCCCCCCCACCCAATGTCATGCATAGACTTGCTAAGTCGTCCAACCCGACAGCTCTGGTGGAATTTACTTCACTCAGAAGCATGAATACCTCAACCCATATGGAAAATGACACGCGCGTACCAATTTGGACTCACCAAAAAGTATTTGATGTACTGCGCTCCTACAACGCAAACATGGTTGATGAAAGCGGACAAGACTGACTTCGAAAACAGCAACGAACTCTTGTACAGAGTATAAATCCACACTAATCAACAGGGGACGAAGTATGAGGAAATAACGGTCCGGATACTTCTCACACCGTAGCTAATTTAGAAAGTAAGAACCATGAAAGGAGCACTGCGTGTTTAAAAAGACATCGGGCGAAGAGGTTCTTTAATACGTAAAGGGAGTGAAATTATATATGCGAGAGTCCGATATGGTAGACAATTCATAATCCTCTACAGAAATTCCGAAAGATATTTCTAGATTTTCGAAAGTAACAGCAGGGCAGGACACGATCCAGGGATGAAATAAGCTGTCGCTTAACCAAGGTCCCGTTTCGGATGCCAGTAAGTGAGAAGAGCTCCAAGCAATAGGAAGAATAAACGGTCTTTCAAATTTCCAAACAGCCCGTATTTAAGTCAGGTAACCTCTACGTTTCGATGTATCTGCTCCTCCGTCATGCAAACGACACGACCGAGCAACTTGCAGCAGACCTCACGCGCTTCCGTTCAACGAGCTCCAGGAATCCAGTTGTAGTATCCAAGCTCGGGGGAATTCCAAAGATTGAAACAGGTGTATTACGCAACTCGCATCAACTACAATAGGTGAAATAACGTCATAAAAGGAAAATAAACGTTATGACCTTCTGCTTGCACTTCTTCCTCCATGAGAGCGCATGACCGGGTTTCTGCAAAGCAAGTGAGAGCGCACTGTAAGCACCAGTTAAAAGGTAAATAGCGCGCCGACTGTTTTTGTTCCTCACTACATTACACCATCCTTTCTTCGAGCGGCGTCCCCGGTGCTACGCCGTAGCTACCCTGCACTGGTACGTCAAGTTCAAGTGGGACTGGAACAGTAGGATAAATTCCCGTGGGTATTCCTTCCGTGGCGTGTCGTTGATCCGAGGCATTATTAGTCCGCGATAACTGGAATCTAGAGGAGTCAAATCAGCACGCAGCGCCTTCCACCTGAGTCCTTTGACGCTAGCCTCCTTAAAACGGTCCTCAAAACGAATCTCTCCCAGCATATAACATCACCTACTCGGCTCATTCACGGCCAGACTCCACACATTCTTGATCTTGTGCACACTCGGGCTGTCTGATGTCTCGGAATTGACCCTTCTACAGCCCGTTGGTAAAAGTGACCAGTGTAGGATCTCATTATGAATCAAACGTTCAGTTATTCAAGCCCGGAGCGCACACCGTCGATTTTTGGCGGACTGACGTATCTACGTTAAGAGAGGCAGCGAGTGCGCTGGACTGGAATGCTCCACAACACATGAAATTCGGCGCTGCTTGGAACGATCTATTCTCTACGTTGAAGCCACTCATTGAGGAGGTCCCATTCCACACTAACAGGCGTATCTCTAAGGGTCCCCTTGGATCGACCGAGAAGCCACGGCCAACGTGAAACAAGGACGAAAATTACGGGACAAATTCAAACCTTCCTGCTTAGACTCAGACTACTCTAAGTACAAGACCGTCAGGAACTTCCGATCTCTGCAGAAACGTGAAAAGAAGAAACGATATGAGAATATCCTGACTGAACAATCTCTTTCTAGGTTAAAGAAACTACTCTCATATCTTAACAGCTTTTAAAAAACCGGCCGGGGAATTCCAGCGTTGTCCAGGAATATACTTGCACATCCAGCACCCCTGGAACATATTGATATAAATGCAAGTGCTACCTTGAAGTTACTACTAGAACTGAACTCAGCTTCCTCAACAGGCCCAGACGGGCTACATGAGAATAGTAGCAGAACTCATTGCCGGCTTACTTTGTCAAATGTATTAGTTCACTCTTAGAGCTGGTCGACTAATTATCGACTGGAAGATGGGCGTAGTTATGTCGAAATACAAGGGTTGAAACCGCTGATTTGCTTAACATCGGTCGCTTGCAAGATCATGGAAAAGCTCATTAAATATGCCATCCACAGACATTGCAAAGATCTGAACATCACTTCGTCTACTGAACTAGGCTTCCGGTGGGGACGTTCCTGCAACATTAACCCGCTGTCGCCAGAAATGACTGAGCTAAGTCACTGGACGCTGGAAAACGCTTGGATGTGGTCTTCATCAACTTCAAAAAAGCTTTTGATAGGGTCACTCAACAGCAACTACGCTCTAAGCTCTGCAGAATTGGCATAACAGGGAACGTCCTACTATGGATCAGTCACTTCTTGCAAGGCCGAAACATGCAAGTCAAGGTAAACAAGACCCTCTCATTTCCAGTGCCTATGTCCAGTGGTGTACCACAAGGCTCCGTCCTCGAACCGGAATTATTCAAGATCTATATCATTGACCTACCAATTATGCTACAAACGGACTGTCTGATCTATGCAGACGACTTCAAGCTATGGCTAGAAGTGTCCAGCCTCGAAGACGCCGACCGATTACAGGAAACGCTTGATCTACTGCACGCCTTGTCTATCAAGTGGGGTTTGCGGGTCAACAATGATAGGTGTTCTGTCCTTCCCATCGGTGGTGCTGAACTGCTGGGCATATATCACATTGGCGAGTACTTACTCAAGATTGCCACTCAGGAAAAGGACTTGGGGACAATAGTATCCTCCGACCACAAAACTACCCGTGACACAATAAAGACTGCAGCGGCGAACAGGATGTGGGGCGTCATAAAGAGATCATTCTCTAAAATGACCGCAGATATTCAGACTTCTCTTCACCTCCTACATCCGTCCAATTTTTGAATTCGGACTTCCGGCCATATCCCAACTATCGAAGCATGAAAGTGATGAGATCGAAAAATTTCAGCGACGAGTCTCGAAATTTGTCTTTGGGCTACGCGAACTCCCCTATCCCACCCGACTACAGGGAATAAACTTTGACCCTTAGACTATCGCTGAGGTCGCGGAGACCTCATCTATAATAGGCGAATTGTAGGAGGAGAATTGGGAAACGAGCTAAGGCAGTTTTTTCAGCTAAGACTTGGCAGTTCGACTCGAGGTCACAGCTGGCAGTTGTTTAAACCGAGGTTGTTCAAATTCCGTTCAGACGTCGCTCCCTCTACTCAAATAATTAATGACTGGAGCCGACTGCCGGACCCGATTGTCAATGAGGTCAGAAGCGGGTTTTACATGTCATGTGAAATGTTTCGGGTTTTGGATTACCCGCCGTGGGTGTCCAACACACATGGCGGGTGCTTGAAAAACCGGAAATCTACTTCTAACCGCTGTGTCAAACACTGCTTGCGGAACTCAATGGCCTAGTGATCATGGCGATAGCCGCCAAGCACTATGAGCCTAATTCTACACCCAGCTCGGCTATCTCTACCTGATGAGTCGAAACAACGACGAAATCGTCGGTCGTGTAGTGCAGGGATGGGAGAGAGCCACATCGGAACCCTCCACTTCGGTGACGGTCCCAATGACCGTATTTCCAGAGATTGACTTCAAAGTCAACCGAGGCCACGATTGAAACTGCGTGTCGCAATCCAAGACACACGGCGGGTGCTTGATAACCCGAAAATCTACTTCTAACCGCTGTGTCAAACACTGCTCGCGGAACTCAATGGCCTAGCCATCATGGCGATAGCCACCAAGCACTATGAGCCTAATTCTACACCCAGCTCGGCTATCTCTACCTGATGAGTCTAAACAACGATAAAATCGTCGGTC